TCTGTGGCCCTAACTAGCGTTTCTGTGGCCCTAAGTAACGATTCTGTGGCCCTCAGTAACAATTCTGTGTCCCTGAGTAATGTTTCTCTGTCCCTAAGTAACGTTTCTCTGTCCCTAAGTAACGTTTCTGTGGCCCTAACTCTGTCCCTAATTACAGAGCGGTCTGCCTCTCTTGAATGACTGGAGGCAAATGGAGAATTCTAAAATGGCCGCCATTTATAGCTCGACCATTACACAGTGCTGGCTGGCTGGCTGCTGATTGGCTAATGCGATCACATGTCATTAAGGAATGCATTATGGGTCAGCGCGCCTTGTCTGCGCGCCTTCCCAGACATCCCCCCCCCGCTCCGTCGCCGCACATGTCGCCGCCATTTTAGGAAAAATTTCGATTCGCGCATCCGAAGTATGCTATTTTTCGGATTCGGCGCGAATCGAAAATTTTCCAATATTCGAAACGAATTCCACTTCGCCTACTTCGATTCGCTCATCTCTAATATTAATCATCTGTGTCCAACTTCAATATTCCCATAAATCCAGATCAGGTGTGTACCTCAAAAATAAAAATAAAAATAGTGTATTACCTCAATAACAATCAGTATATACTTATAGCAAATAAGTGCAAAACAAACCAAGATTCAAATCGTGAGATCACTCTGTATACACTATAAATGAATAAATATAAATAAATGTGAAAAAAACACTGTACACTCATAAACCAAAAAAATAAATCAATAAATCAAATAAATAAATAAAATAAATTAAATGGTGAACACTCCGGTGAACACTTCTATTGGGTTAAAATGCATACAATTAACCTCATAGAAGTAATTTCAAGCCTTAACAGAGAACACTCAGGTGTTGTAGTCACATCTCAGACTTCTACTCCAGAATGCTGTATGTGGGGTTCCAATCCTTAAGAAAAGCCCTTAAGACTCCATCATCCTCATGTAAATAGATAGAGAGGCCCATGTAGCAAAGTATAGTGAGTATTAAAACATTTAATTGTTGTGCTCACATTGGGGATAAAAAAAAAATCAGCAATATATTCCCATGACTCAGCCTGAGCAGCTTCCTGGAACGGAGGATATCTTCCACCTACACGTGAAGTTGCAGAGTAGTAGGACGTACACCTTTATAAGTGACTTCTTTTTTACAAACAGTGGCCAGGGAACTGTCATTTATCAGTGGTAGCACTTCCTGCTCTAAATGACAGATCCCTGCCAGATAAACAAATGGGCCGGGGATCCTGGGTGATGTCACGGATCAAATATGATCAAAACTGCAAAACTCAACATAATTCCTCTAAAGAAAGCCCTATAGATCAAATATGTAAAAAAAACAAAACCTCAGCGCTCAGGACTTCCTATTTACCATATAAAACCCCGTGAGATGCTGCTGTGCACAGGTACAAAAGACCAAAAACTTTTAACAATGAAAAAACCAGCGCAAACCCACATGATCAATTACATTACTCAGTGTAAAAAAACATTAATGTGCTAATAAAATTATATATAATAAATTATATATAAATTATGTTGATACAAAAATATATCTATAAAAATTATGAGTCCAGTGAAAAAACAAAGTGGCAGACGCACTTCCGGTTGCCTGGTCCGTCGTCTGACGTCATTTCCGGTGAGTGGAGCGCACGCCGAGCGGTGCGTTCCAAGGGGCCATCTTAGTCTAAGGAGAAGAGTCTGTAGCTGAGGTCTGCCATCTGCTGCACACTAAATTGTGGGGTCCTTATATAATCCTTTTATAATCCGGTTTGGTGTACATGAAAAGTGGATCAATTTTGAAGAGAATCGCTGTTGTTTTGAATAAAAAGCTGGCTATATATCCCGCAAAAGAATGTGAGTGGTCTGGAGAGATTAATTTGAGGAGAAGTTACTGCGGTATCACGCTATGGTCTTTTCTTCTTCCTGATTTTCCTTTGGGGGATTCGGTGAGAGGAGTAAGCAGAAGAGGTACCTAGACATGAGAGGAAACAGCACTTGGAGGTCTCAGAGAAAGTAAAGGGGGTCCAGGAGCCCTTAACAATCCTGAAAGGCGTGTGTGACTCACCATTATCTGGTGAGTGCGGTTAATGTGATTTCTGCACTGGTGGATGGTGAAGGGATCCGTAACACGGAAGAATCATATGGAAAATATATTATAAATTAATTTGATTAATTTTGTCACGGGACTTTAATTATTTATATATATATACTTTCTGGGATTTTTCTGATTTTTTGTCACTTTGTTTTTTCACTGGACTCATAATTTTTATAGATATATTTTTGTATCAACATATAATTTATATATAATTTATTATATATAATTTTTATTAGCACATTAATGTTTTTTTACACTGAGTAATGTAATTGATCATGTGGGTTTGCGCTGGTTTTCATTGTTAAAAGCTATAGATCAAATAACCAACATTCCTCACCTTGGGTATAAAAGTCGGGATTATAGAGAAGAAGGAAAGTTTCTGAAAGACAAAAAAAGAAAAAAAATAATATAATAACAACTCATGTTCAATCTGTTCTAGCAGATACTAAATGTTCTCCAAATATTAAAAAGCTGCAACCTGATAGAAATGTGAGACTAGAATCATGTTCTACGGAGGTGGATGACAACCCCCCCCCCCCACACACTTTCCCCAGGGAGGATCTTCTGCAGATCTTCCATTTCTGATCTGTTGGTGGAGTGAGTTCTGTTACTGAAAAGACACCAAACTGTGACCCCAATTATTACAATGTAGCAGCCCCAGGGCTAAATAGAGACCCCATTTGTTTTTCTTGATATGAGATATGAAGAGATCCCTGTACAGATTTATCACCAGTAACTCAACCATAAGTTTAGATTGCTGAGGGTCAACTTACTTGAAGTAGAGGGCTTCAAATATGGTCCCTGACATCACCAAAGGGCCACAGATAATATGCAGTAAATGTAACTATATAACAAGGAACTGTCAGAGACTGCAGACTGTTCTGCCTTCAGCAGGGAAATTCATTATGTTTGTCCTCCCTGTAATATTAAGTGTGGCCACTAGATGGAGCCAAATTAAATTTACTATCTTGCAGAAACCAGAAACTGATTAGGTAATAAAAGCTCCCATCATCCTTCATTCTAATAAAAGGATACAGGTGCATCTTGGAAGCTCAGACTCCATCCTAAGAGCTGAGGCAGAGTAAATCAGCCATGATCCCTGATGCACATGTTGTGGAATGAATTTACAACCCCTGAAGGCAGAATCGGCTGGAGAGCATGGACCTACTGCCAACCGCAGCCTACTTTTTTTCATTGTGTATTGTATGTTTCATACATTGATTGTATGTATTTCTCATCTGTTTTTTCCCAACAGTTTCACGCCACATTGTTTTGTCAGAAAGCTTCAAGATTACATTCATCTGGCTTATTGCAGAATAGGAGGGTTTAGCTGCATATCGAGTTACACACAGGGAAATGTGTAGCGAGGACAGAACACAGACATACTGTAGGAAATGGTCAGAGACTACAGACATACTACAGGAGATGGTCAGAGACTGCAGACATGCTGCAGGAGATGGTCAGAGACTGCATGCATGCAACAGGAGATAGTCAGAGACTGCAGACATACTACAGGAGATGGTCAGAGACTGTGGACATACTACAGGAGATGGTCAGAGACTGCGGACATATTACAGGAGATGGTCAGAGACTGCAGACATACTACAGGAGATGGTCAGAGACTGAAGACATGCAACAGGAGATGGTCAGAGACTGAAGACATACTACAGGAGATGGTCAGAGACTGCAGACATACTACAGGAGATGGTCAGTGACTGCAGACACACACTACAGGAGATGGTCAGTGACTGCAGACATACTACAGGAGATTGTCAGAGACTAAGACATGCAACAGGATATTATTATTATTATTACATCGAGTTTATATAGCGCCAAAGGGTTTGCTCAGCGCTGTACAATAGAGGGGGGGACAATACATGAAACAATACAGCAACAACAAACAGCACACGAGGGGTTCCAGAGGATGGGGGAGGACCTGGAGAAGTCTTGCAATCGTGCGTGGGAGGAGGAGACCAGGGAGCAAGATAGAAGGAGGTCCTGTGAAGAGCGAAGGGTACGGGTAGGGTGGTACCTGGGAATCAGATTGGTGAGGTAGTTAGGGGCAGTGTTGTGAATGGCTTTGTAGGTCAGAGTTAGCAGTTTGAATTTGATGCGTTGGGCAATCGGGAGCCAGTGGAGGGATAGGCAGAGGGTGGGGTGGCAGAGGTGGAGCGGCTGGTGAGGTGGATGAGTCTGGCCGCTGAGTTCAGGATGGTCTGAAGCGGGGAGAGCCTGCACTGGGGTAGGCCGGTGAGGAGGGAGTTGCAGTAGTCGAGGCGTGAGATGATGAGGGAGTGTACGAGTTGTTTAGTGGTGTCTGGGGTAAGGAAGGTGCGTATCTTGGCGATGTTGCGAAGGTGGAGCCTGCATGTGTTTGTAAGTGATTTGACATGAGGTTGGAAGTAAAGGTTTGAGTCCAGAAGGACGCCAAAGGACTTTGGCTTGCAGGGCAGGATTGATGGTGGTGTTGTTGGTAGTGATGGATAGGATGGGGGGGGGGGGGCACAGGGAGGGGGAAAGACGAGAAGCTCGGTTTTGGAGAGGTTAAGCTTGAGGAAATGGAGCGACATCCAGTCAGATGTCGTTTAGGAGGTGAGTGATGCGGGCGGAGATAGTGGGGGTGAGGAGAGGGGTGGAGAGGTAAATTTTGAGTGTCATCAGCGTAGAGGTGGTAGTTGAAGCCGTGGGAGTGTATGAGTTTGCCAAGGGAGGAGGTGTAAGATGGAGAAGAGAAGGGGTCCAAGGACGGAGCCCTGGGGGACCCCAACAGAGAGGGGAGGGAAGGGGATGAGGTGGCACCGTTGTAGGAAACGCTGAAGGAGTGTCGGGATAGGTAAGAGGAGAACCAGGAGAGAGCGGTTCTCTGATGCCAAGGGAGAGTAGTTTATTAAGGGGGTGTTCAACTGTGTCAAAGGCCGCGGAGAGGTCCAGAGAAGGACAGATGTAGTCGCCTTTGCTTTTGGCGGTTAGTAGGTCGTTGGTGATTTTTGAGGAGGGCAGTTTCAGTGGAGTGTAGGGGACGGAAGCCGGACTGTAGTGGATCAAGGAGGTTGTTGTCAGTTAGGTGGGCGCTTAGGCGATCGTGGACTAAGCGCTCAAGGAGCTTGGAGGTGAGTGGCAGCAGCAGGGAGATGGGTCTGAGGTTGTTTAGGTCAGTGGGGTCCAGGGAGGGCTTTTTGAGTATGGGGGTGATGTGTGCGCAAGCTTTAGGGGGGAGGGGAATACGCCGGTAGAGAGGGAGAGATTGAAGATGTGGGTGAGGGAGCAGATGAGGGAAGAGGGGGGGTGACCGGAGGAGTTGAGAGGGGGATAGGGTCCATGGGGGAAGGTAGTGAGGCGGGGCTTCTGAGAAGACTCTGGTGACTTCCTCAGTGGTAGTAGAGCTGAAGGAGTGCAGTGCTGGGGGGGTTACGGTAAGCGGGACCTTGGGTTTGGGTGTGGTGGGGGGCAGTGGGGTTGTGAGGTCAGAGGAGTGAGGAGAGATGGGGAGGGGGGTGATGGGAGGGGGGAGGCTAGGTGGGGAGGTAGATTGCGAGTTCACTAGTTCCCTTACGGATTGCGTCAATCTTGTTGTGGAAATGAGTGGCAATCTCGTGGGCGGGTAAGTGAGGTTACTGGAGTAGGGAGGAGGGGGGGGGAGAGCAGGGAGTTGAAGGTGGAGGAAGAGTCGGCTCGAGGACAGGTGGAGGAGGGGAGGGTTGGGGGGGGTTAATGAAGGGGCCTGCTTGGGGGGGGTGGAGGGGAGGGTGGGGCGGGAAGGCAGATTTGTAGAGGGAGAACGCACAAGGGATCTGGTTTTGCGCCATAGTCTCTCCAGTGCGCGACTGCTGCGATGTTTGAGGCATTCAGTATGGTCGCTCTGCCATGGTTGGAGCAGTCTAGGTTTGATGTTGTGTGTGGTTAGGGTGGTGCCAGGAGAGTATATGGTAGCTGATAGTGAGTCATTGTACGCAGTGGTGGGCTAGGTCAGGATATGACAGTGGAAGGATGCTGTCATGTAGGGGGCGGTCGTTAACAGCAGCCTAGTGGAGGGGGGGCCGGGTGCAGGTTGCGGAGGTTGCGGCTGGTCATGGTTTGGCGCTCTGGGGGGAGTTAGGGGAAGGGTAGATGGAGAACGTGAGGAGGTGGTGGTCGGAGAGAGGGAAGTGGGTGTTAGTAAAGTGGTTGAGGGTACAGAGGTGGGAAGAAGACGAGGTCCAGGGTGTTCCCATCGATGTGGGTGGAGGATTGAGTGTACTGTGTGAGCGCGAAGGAGGAGCTTAGGTGGAGGAGATGGGAAGTAGCTGGGTTGTTGTCATTGATGGGGATATTGAAATCCCCAGGATGATGGTCGGTAGCTCAGAGGAGAGGAAGAAGGGAAGCCAGGCGGCGAAGTCATCCAGGAAGCGGGTATGGATCTGGGAGGCCTGTAGATCACTGCGATCCTTAGGGGGGTGGGGTGAAGAGCCGGATGCAGTGAGCCTCGGAGGAGAAGGATAGGGAGGGGGGGGTTAGGGAGGACCTGGAAGGTGCTCAGCGGTGAAAGGAGCAAGCCGACACCACCACCTCTGTGACCGCTCAGTCTTGGTGAATGGGACCAGACGAGACCTCCCTGGGAGAGTGCTGCAGGGCAGGTAGAGTCAGTGGCCTGTACCCAGGTTTCGGTGATGGCTAGGAGGTTGAGGGGTGGGAGATAAAGAGGTCATGGATGGAGGTAAGCATTTGTTGCAAGAGCGAGCGGGGGAGTGGCGTTCAGGAGTGCAGATGCAACCGAAAAGAGGGGGGATGGATCTGGCGGGGAGGAGGGGCACAGGTATGAGGTTGAGGTGGGATTTTTGTTGGCGGCTGCGGGAGCAGGGGGTCCCTGGAGGGGGTGAGGTGGTAGGGGTCAGGGGTTCGAGGGGAGATGTCCCCAGCGGATAGGAGAAGGGTGAGGAGGTGGCATGGGAATGGAAGTGCAGGAGCGTGTGGGATCTGGTGGTGGTGGCACGTGGGTGACGACGAGGGAGTGAGTAGCAGGAGGAGGTGGTGAGTGCCATAGTGGGGAGAAGGGAGAAGTGAAGGGCAATGTAGAGCTGTTTTTTCGGGGGGTAGTCAAGGTAGAGGGACGGGCGATTTTTGGATGGAGGCGAGGAAAACGAGGAGAAGAGTGCAGGTGGCATGTGGGGTGATGTAGGAGTGCTGTTCGGGTTCGGGGGGGAGGGTGAAGGACATACAGGTCAGGGCAAGGTGATGTGGAGATCAGTATCACCATGGAGGAGTCCATTTTTGAAGTCCTTCTGTAAGGGGGAGAGTAATGGCAGAAACTTAGAAAAAACATACTAAAGGAGACAGTCAAGACTACGTACACAATACAGGAGATGAGGAGTCGGAGACTGCAGACAGATTACAGGGAGATGGTCAGAGACTGCAGACAGACTACAGGAGGATGGTCAGAGACTGCAGACACTACAGGAGATGCTAGAGACTGGCAGACATTCTACAGGAAATGGTCAGAGACTGCAAGACATAATACATCAGATGATCACAGACTGCAGACAAGCTACAGGAAGATGGACAGAGACTGCAGACATGCTATAGGAGATGGGGTCAGAGACTGCAGAAAAATGCTAACAGGAGATGGTCATCGAGACTGCATACAGACTACAGGAGATGGTCAGAGACTGCAGACACACTAATGGAGATGGTCATAGACTGCATACACACTAATGGAGATGGTCAGAGACTGCAGACATACTACAGGAATTGGTCCAGAGACTGCAGAGAAATAGTACATGGAGATAGTCAGAGACTGCTGACATACACTACAGGAGATGGTCAGAAGACTCTGCAGGCATACTGTGGAGAGATGAGCAGAAATTTCAGACAGAAACAGGTGGCAGGGTCTGCATTCCTTTTATCGTTAATTCCTTTATGAGTATCTCACCAAAAATGACATTCTGGGGATATCAACAGAACCATCACCACAATCAGGAATTTTTACATACCTAGAGTGGGCGTTTCTGTATACTATCTGTGTATAGAACTCCTCCAGGTTGGCATATTGAATTTTACTGAAAATTTAGTAAGCTGCAAATAATTAATTATTATACAGGATTATGGCGCCAACAGTTTGCTCAGGCAACTTTACAATATAAGGGAGACAGTACAATTACAATACATTTCAGTACAGAAGGAAATAGGAGGGCGCCCGCTCATGGAGCTTACAAACTAAAGGAAGGGGAGGTGATACAAAAGGTGAAAACTGTGGGGGGATGATATGGTGGAGGTGATTCAAGTACAGTTTCTTAGGTGGAGGTGGGGTAGGCTGCCTGAAGAAGTGAGTTTTCAAAGATCGCCTAAAGGCAGACAGGGTGGAGCAGACCAGACATGCTGTGGTAGGGAGTTTCAGAGGATGGGAGAGGCTCTATAGAAGTCCTGGAAGCGAGCGTGGGAGGAGGTGATGAGGGAGCTATAGAGGAGGATATCTTGGGAGGAGCGGAGTGGGCGATTTGGGTGATATCTGTGGATGAGGATAGTAGCTAGTGGCAGTGTTGTGGATGGCTTGTAAGCTGAGGTTTA